GAGCTACCCCGGGGGGGGGGGTATCCGTGTGACAGTCGCAGTTTCCTGTCTCACGTTGGTCAATGGTTGAATGTCTGGCGAACACAGTCTCCTGGTCCTCCAGGTTGGGAGCTGGAACATGCGTGGCGACCTGTTCCGTAAAAATTGAAATGAACTTGCAGTTCCCGCAAAATACCGCTGCCTTGTGATTAGGATTTTGAGCCAAAGGTTTTGGTTAGGGACCTTAATCGTACTCCTGTCTAAGTGTGGGCGCCCGGACAGTAGCTCAGTTCAAATAAAACACACATTCAAACAAACTCATGCCGTAACGGACGTCGCGTGGTGCCACCAGTCGGATCGCCTTAATTCCTGACGCCTCCTTTGTTTACCTTCCACATACTTCTTCACTCTCTCCCCATCCCATTATTAACTATCACCTTGAACGCTCACCAGTTAGGTCCCATGAATCCATTTGTTCTGCATCGGTTTTGCAAGCAACATCTGAACGTCATCCGGCGCCGACATTCTCAGGCAACTCGAAATCAATCTTCAAACCTCGACACCCAGTCTGTCTGGCTGCCTTCGCACTCCGAAGCAAGCGGCACAACAAGCTGCTCTTGCTCTCACACTAAACTTGCTTGACATTGATGCGTTGCATAACATAAACAATAATTCAAGAAGCAAACAGAGTGGTTGAGCTAACCGCCCCCCTACTGGACTCGCTTGGCATTGATGTGTGCTGTGTCTCAGAAACAAGAATTCAAGATGCAAGCATAGTGATTGAGTTAACCACCCCGTCACTCTCCACTCGCTTCCGGCTACGTACCTCTGGTGATCCAGAGGCTGCAGCGGTGGGATGTGCAGGGGCTGGTATTGTGCTAAGTCACCGGGCGGAAGTTCCTTACTTGACTGGATACTTGTTGATAGTCACCTCTGTGCGGTTCGTCTCGCAACGTCTGTGAAGGAGTCTCACAAGCGGCAAGTTGATAGATGTCTGCTTATCGTGTCTGCCTATGCCCCAACTGACTGCAGCTCCGACACCGTCAAAGACAGGTTTCACGAAGCCCTGAATGCCCTGCTGCGGCGAGCTAAAAGCTCGGATATTGCAGTAGTTGCCGGAGATATGAATGCGCAAGTGGGCAGGCTTAGCGCATCTGAGACTCAAATGGGAGGTCGATATGGATTGGACTCGGTACGTACGGACAATGGGGAATGATTGCTTCAGCTGTGTGCTGATCGCAGGCTGTTTTTATGCAGTACGAACTTCCGATATAGCCGAAGTCGTCTGGCCACTTGGTGTCCTCCAACGACAGGCCGGCCACAAACTCAAATCGACAACAATGCCATCAGTTACCGATGATGCGGATCAATAACTGACTGTCGGTCGTTTTGGAACACATTTATGGACTCTGAACACGCGCTCGTCCGGAGTCGCTTCGCCCTAAGTTTCCCGGGGCTGCGTAAGGTTCGGACAAATCGCATGGCAACTGAAAGACTGGCAGATCCGGATGTCAGACAAACTTACCAGAATCATCTTCTAGAGTCTCTTCCAAATTCTCCACCA